TTTAAATGTACAGGTAAAATTCTAGTATGTAAATCTAAATCTTAAAGGAGTTATCATGACTTTTTATACATTTTGAATTGCAAGCTTAGAGATGGGGGATATGTAGATTACAGTATATATTATATACAGGTTAGAAAACTTTTCCCCCCACTTACATGTGGAATCTAATGAACAAAATAAACTGACAAACAAAATAGATCCAGAGACATGGAAGCATGCAACAGACTGAGGACTCCCTGAGCAGAAGGAGGTGAGAAGAGATCAACCAAAGAAACTATATGCATGCATACGTAACCCATGGACACAGACAGCAGTGGGATGAAGGCCTTGGGAGGGGACGGGAGTGGAGATGTCCCTTCTGTTGCCCCATTGCCCCCCTCTACCCTTAAAAAACTTTTTAAATTGCAAACACTGAATACTGGAGGGAATGAGAATTGTTAAAAGGGGATACTTGCCTGATAAAAACTAAATTATTTTTATTCTTTTTACTCTGTTTGAATTTTGAATTTGTAGTCTAAGCAAATAGAAATATTTTTCTAAATATGGAAGTTTTATTTGCTTTTTTACCTTGGAAAAAGGGTACTTCATGCTTTAGCATTTAAGGTCTGGTTGCAGCAGTGGGACTCATTTTCAGATCCATTCCTGATGATTGGATGCCTGAAGCATAGATAAAAAGAAAACAAGGACTCATCAAGTGGGATTCATATAAGATCCTAATATTCTTGCCCTGGCTAGTGTGGCTCAATTGTCCTATACACCAAAAGGTTGCTGGTTCAATGCCCGGTCAGGGCACATACCCAGGTTTGGGGTTCCATAGCCAATCATTGTTTCTCTCTTACTCCTCTCTCCCTCTCCCTCACCCTTTTCTCTCTAAAATCAATAAAAAACACATTTTTTAAAAAAGATCCTAATATTCTTAACCAATGTTTTATAAGCATACTTGGTAAGTTACTTTAAAGTATATGTCGGACTTCCACTTCTGACATTTGGCAGAATGTAAAACCTTAGAATTCTAGATTAAATATGTATAGCTATTTCTTTTAAATGTGTAGCTTGATTCCAAGTCTTGTGTTTTTTCTCTACGTTTTGCTAAATATTTTAGACATACAGGTAAAGCTACTTTGATCAGACTTTCAAGTCAAAAGTTTAGATATCTAAGTATTTGGGAAAAGTTAAAGGTAATTATAAATCATTGCTTATATATTATAGGCAGTTCTTTTAACTAGTAATGTTTTTAGTAGAATTACTGATTTCTTTTTCATGTTTTATCAGAGCAAGATATGTGAATTATATTAAAACATCAGAAGTGGTCAGACTGCCCTATCCTCTTCAAATGAAATCTTCAGGCCCACCTTCTTACTTTATTAAAAGGGAATCATGGGGTTGGACAGACTTTCTGATGAACCCAATGGTATGTATCAGGTTATAACAAAGTATCTTTACTAATCTCTAATTGGCTTCTAGGCAGTTGAAAACTTTTAACCCCTATGAGATAGAAAGCTGACATCAGATTGTTGGATGAAAGTGTAATTAGTGGATTTTAGGAAAACAGTGTCTTGGGAATATATAATGAGAATTGCAATGGTAGATATGACATTGAAATTCCTGGTCAGGGCACATACCCAGGTTGTGGGTTCAATCCCCTGTCTGGGCGCTTGTGGGAGGTAACCAGTATTTCCCTCTCCCTCCTCCCTCCTCCGTCTCTCCCTCCCTCTCCCTCCCTCTCCCTTTCCCTCTCCCTCCTCCCTCCTCCCTCTCCCTCCTCCCTCCCTCTTCCTCTCTTGCTCAAATCAATAGAAAAAAAATTAAGAAAAAAACACTAATAGAGTACATTCTTTAGAGATAAATTGACTTTGCTGCTTTTGAAAGTTGAGTTATTGTTAGACTTGTCTAAGTTTTTTTAAAAATATATATTTTATTGATTTTTTACAGAGAGGAAGGGAGAGGGATAGAGAGTTAGAAACATCGATGAGAAAGAAACATCGATCAGCTGCCTCCTGCACATCCCCCAGTGGGGAAGTGCCCGCAACCCAGGTACATGCCCTTGACCGGAATCGAACCTGGGACCTT